AAAAAAAGAGTTACAGCCTCAGGAACCCACCAGGGCCGTGCTGCCCCATCCCACAGGGTCCCGATGAATGGGCAGTGACTCAATGGCAGTGAGCTTGGCTTTTGGTGGGTGGACGTGGGGTGGACTTCTGAAATACTGGAAGTAGCTCCTGTTATTCTCTTCACCGCTCGCAGAGGGCCGGGAGCGACCTGGTTAGGTCAAAGGGCAAACCACAGAGAAGACATAGACTTGGTCAATTAGAAGCCATGGTGAGCTTGCTGATAGAGCAATTCCCAGAGCAATAGTGGGAGAAATCAGGGAGGAAGGGGCCCGGTGTGAGTGCAGGGGAGGAAGCGTGGGCGTGAACCCTCTTTGGAAGAGCTCCTTGGGGAAAGAAAAGAGGGTCACAAGGCAGCCGCTGCTGCCATATTCAGAATCCTTCCCACCTCCCTGGATCCAGCAAGCCCCAAACCTACGGCCATGGGCTCAACTCCTAGTGACTCAGTTGGACAGAGCAGAACTGCTCCCCAAGATTTGTAAGACTGTGAATCCATGTGGGAGCAGACAGCCTCGTGCGTCTCTGGGGATCTGAAGTGCTGGCCTTACGGTTAGCAGCCCAGTGCTCCACCAGAACCTGGGAGCGGGACGAGGAGAAGACCGAGTGCGAAGGTAAGAGTCCAAGAGTCCAGGAATGTCCTGGAAGCTCGCCGTTCAACTTCCGCCGCCCTCCAGAGGATCATGAAATCCCCCAGGGATTTGAACCCAACTAAGTACATAGGTTGGGAAGGTGACTCCTCTTTCACCACCCCTTGAAGCTGGAGCACCTGGTCCCCATTCCAGGCCCACCAGCCCCTGGACACCAGCCTTATCAGGCCCTCGCTGCCTGCCCCTGCTTCTTCTCCTTTCCCCACAAAGTGCCACTCTGTGCCACACACCCGATGACACGCAGGCTGTGCCACCAGAAGAGTCTTTTTACATACGTCACGTTGTCCCAGCTGGGTACCAAGAAAACCAACTCACTGCCATCGAGTGAGTCAATGCTGACTTACGGCGACCCCTTGGTAGGTTTCCAAGACTAACTGTTTCCAGGAGTAGAAAGCCCAGTCGTTCTCCCTCGGAGCTGCTGGTGGTTTTGAACTGCTGACCATGTGGATCTCAGACCAACGTGTAACCACTACACCACCAGGGCTCTCCCCAGCTGGAATAGGTGCGACCAAATGAAGAGTTTTAAAGCCCAGGTTTTAGAACGGGACAGGGCTGGTCTCAAATCTCGGCTCCACTAGCTGTGTCAGCCTGACAAGTTGCTCAATCTTTCTCTTCTTTGTTTGCCACAGAACAGTAAGGCCTGGCTTTTCTGACTGTTGTAAAGGAGGTTACACACACACACACACACACACACACACACACCCATACACTCCACACAAAGCAGTCACTGTGATCACTGGCTAAAGCAGGGGTGACAAGGGCCAATGCTCCAGCAGCTGACAGGTGATGTCAACAAGGCCCATGGGCCGGGTGGGGAGCTTAGCAAGTAGCGGAGCTCCATGCATCTTGTCAACAGGAATGTCTCGCAGGGAGAGTGAGCGTGTGCGCCGCCTCCAGCAAGCCATTTATCTCCTGAACGCCTCCAGATGAGGCCACCACGCCGCGACCTCACTGACAGGCTCGACTCCACCGCTTCACGCTTCACCGTCTCAAGTGGACCGCAGATGATGCAGCAAGCGAGAGAGAGCCCAAGTCTGTGGACGTGTGGCGCCCGCGCGCCCAGCGCTTCTGATTGCTGCCTCCAGAGAAGCTGGGCAGCTGGACATTCAGGTGAAGATTTTCAAGTTTTGAATATGGCCATTCATCTGCATTTTGAAAACAAGCTCACCACTTTGCTGGAGGAAGAGGGTGACATTTTTAAGGGGAGGGCCAATGGTGTCTGCTTCTGCGGCTCTTGCACTGAGCGCCGGGGCTGTTTCTGAGAGATGGGAGAAGCCTCAACAGATTCCCTCTGTGGCAGCTGCATAATCTTGTGTCCACTTAATATATGGAATGTAGGGGTGGAGTCTAGCCTGTCAATCAGATCACAGCTTGATGGTTCCTCCGTGTGGGTGTGAGTTTCTCACAAGGAGGGTTCTGGGAGCTCCCTCCCTCTCCCCGCTTCCCCTGCCTGCTGTCAAGTCTCTCTGAGCTGCCTGAGACACTGCCTTCAGATCCGCAGGGCTCTGCACCCACCGGCCTGTGCTCTCCCTGCGTTCTGCATCACTGCATGTGGTTGTGTGAGTCTGAGAGGGATTTATGGACTAGTATTGGACTGATGGACTAGTATCGGACTTTTGGACTTGTTCTGGACTGGGCTGGGATGTGTGCTTGATTTATAGTTACCTCTTGATCAAAAGCTCTCGTTCTCACACATGAGTGTCTCTGGACTTGTGTCTCTCGTCAACCTGGCCTAACACACCCTCTTTGTTCTGATCCAGGGCAAGGGAAGGAGGTTCCGGTGAAAGTCTCACTGTTCTGCAGGTTGTGATCTTTTAAAGGACCACCGACCCGGGTCAAACTGACAGCAGCAACTGGGCAGGTTAGACAGGAAGTGCAGGGGGCAGGGAGTTGAGGTCACTGGCGGAGGGACACGCTGGAAAAGGGGGGCGAGAATGGCGGTACCCCTGAAAGTCAATGTCACTGAAGTGTCCGTGCAGGAGTTGTTGGATTGCATAGTTCTGTGTATGTGTGTGAATGCATATTTCTTCTTACAGATTTCTTTTATCAAAAAAGAGAAGGTTCTGCTGGTAGATCTGTGAAGGCAGAACACGGCGTGACTTCCCACCTTGTGCGGGCAGGAAAGCCTGCGTGAACCGGACCATCACCAGGGAGCCCGAGCTGGGGAAAGGGGAAATCTACCTTGCTGGCCAGAGACAGGCAGGGGCGGGGGGCCCTCCGGGGACTTTCCAGTTTGACGATGCTGATGAATCCAGGCTCCAGGTTGTCGTCGTCGCTGGCGTTGCACAGGTACAGGGGGTGGGACTGCAGGGAGACAGCAGAGAGAAGGACCTGGGTTAGGGGGCTGCGGGATCAGCAGGAAGGATCCAGGAGCGCCGCCGAGCGCATCCTTCCGTGCTGCACTGAGCAGGTGCAGGTGGTGTGGACCCAGTCAGTGCACTGCCTCAGAGGAAGCTAGTCCCCACCCCTGCCCTTTCGAGAGGGGAGATGGAGGCCCACTGGGGGACCCCTGGTTTCCAAAGCGGTCAGTGCAGAGGCCTCCCCGCCTGGCTTCGGCCTCCTTCCCCTGCTTCCAAACCCCAGACTAAGAGAGTAGCTATTGGTCCTGTATCCAGTGCCTTTGGACTCTCCTTCTTGCCCTCTATATCCCTGCAGGTCCCTCCTGCCTCCCGGGATGCCCCCAGGAGGCCACCGCCTACAAGCTCCCATCTGCCACCGGGCTTGGCCCTTCTCACTGGGTGTTGCTCCCAGCTCAGTAGCCCCCGGCCCCTCTGTGCATGCTGGGACTAAGCAGCGCGCTGGAGAGAGGAAAGAGGTCGTTTGGAGATGGGGCTGGTTGAGCCGGAAACCTTGCGTCATGGGATTTGTAGGAGTTCGTCCTCTCCCCAGCAAGGACCCAGCCAGAGCGAGCTCGGGCCGCTTCTCTGGGGCCGGCAGAGGTTCTGAGGGTTCGAGGCAATGGCAAGCTCAGGCCAAGGCCCTTTGCCTCTCAGCCCATCTGGTGTGGAGGAACGGCTAAAGGGGTAGTGGGCCCAACAGGTGCTAAGGTGACACCTGGAGTCCCTTACCCCCACCCCCACCCCCACCCCCAAGGAGATGGAGCTACCCTTCTAGAACTCGCTTCTCACTCACAGTGATTCCAACACTCACTCAATTCCCTTTCTCCTAAATAGCACGCCTGTGCGCCAGGAGCACAGTGTGATTTCCTTGGATGATTCTACAGGCCCAAGTCTCCGGTAAGAAAAGGGGAATTCCTACTATGGGGGGGGGGCACTTCCCGCACTTCCTTCTCCACAGCTGACATCTCCAGGACCTACAGAAAGACCCTTCGGGATTATGGAACTGTACGTGAGTGAGGGTGCAGATGGCTGATGTCAGCTATCAATTGAAAGCACACCCAGTTGTTGAAAGCACTCTCAGGCTGTTTCCCGTCACTGAACGCTGCCATTCCTTGAACTTGGTCGGTTTCTCACTAAAGATGCGCTACTTTGCTTTGAATCAAGTCCTTATGAAGGAAATCTTTGGTTCGGGACATTAATGGGAAGGCGTTCCATTCTTGCGCCTAGAATTCAAGGCACACCCGTCAGGTGGGTGACTGAAGTTCACGCGTACGCTTTGCCCCAAGAGAAAGGCCTGGGTGTAAAGTTCAGGGTGGTCTCAGTTCAGTGGAGCCGCAGGCCCTGTCTTGACAAGCTCCACTTGCCTGTCCATCAATTCACCCACCTAGCCATGCATCCACTCATTTACCTATGCTACCAGCCGAGAGTCCACTGGGTGCCAGGCGTTGCACTGGGTGTGGAGGGGGCAGGAACGGATGAGACAGGCTCTCCTTGCCTTTACGGGGGACACCCTGATGCGGTGCTGTGGTGAGGCTGGTCTGCTGACGGGCTTGTGGGAGGCCATGAGAAGAAGGCTTCCCGTGAGGTGACTTGAGAATTTCCTTGGAGGCTGACCATGTAGGTGCTCACCCAGTGGACCAAAAAGGGAGGGTCCTTCCTGGGAGAGGAAGCGATCTGTGTAGAGGCCTGAGGCACCAGGCTGGGGAAGTCTGGTCTAGCACAGTGGTTCTCCACCTTCCTAATGCGTTGACCCTTTCATACAGTCCCTCATGTGGTGGTGACCCCCCCACCCAACCATACAATTATTTTCACTACTATTTCATAACTGTAATTTTGCTACTGTTATGAATTGGCATGTAAATATCTGATGTGCAGGATGTAGTTTCATTGTTACAAATTGAACATCATTAAAGCATAGTGATTCATCACAAAACAATATGTAATTATATATTGTGAAATATTTATTTCTAACGACAAATGAATGAAATTTTGTCCTGAAGCACGGTGTAGCATGGGTAACAGTCTCAATATAACAACAGTAAACTGCATTGCTACATTTTATAACAGTGTGCGTAAAGAGCCAACTTCAATGTGAAGGTTGAGATGGCTTCTTTCCCACCAGAGCAACATATCTGCATGTGCATCTGGAGACGGGCGGTGTCTCGGTTCCTAAGACCATCGGGAACATGTGTTTTCCGATGGGCTTAGGCGACCCCTGTGAAAGGGTCGTTCAACACCCCCCCCCCCAAGGGGTCTCAACCCACAGGTTGAGAACCGCTGGTCTAGCATGAAAGAGAAGGAAGGAGATGAAGCGGTCAAAGCCCACAAGATTTGCATTTGAGAAGGGTCTTTGGGACTTCCAAGGACAGTGTGATGAAGAGTCAGAAGTCCGTTACATCAACAGAACCCAACTCAGGAGACCTTCCTCCAAGGACGGATTGCAGCCCTGCGGCGGGTGGGCTACGGTGCGTGTCCCCCATGAGGTCCCCGTTCCCGCAGGGACCAGAGGACACCTCTCGTTATTCAGAGGCCCATCCGGAGAAGGGGAAGCCACTTTGAAGATGAGCAGCTTTTAGAGAAGGGTTCCCACCAAGACCTTCGTAGGTGAGACCAGAATTAACAGCAGCAGGGCTGTGATGCAGGCCGCCTTTAATGAGGCAGAGGGGGAAATGGTGCCCCTCCTCAGATTTCCTCGGTCCAGACTACGTACAATGGAGGGGAGGAGGGGGGGAGAGAGACCATCAGTAAATGCACGCCAAGCGCTGAGGTTGAGGCGCTGCAACTTCTCGCACTCTCTCTGATAGGTGCTATCATCCCCAATTAAAAAGCGACCTCTGTTGAGAATGATGAGGGCAACAAATGTGCCTGGCACAATGCATGTATGGATTGCGGTTGGAGTTGTACCAGCCCCCAGTGAAATGATTTAAGACAAAGAAAAACAAAAGGCGACGCTTTCGGGGCTTTGTGGGTTGGCGTTCCTCGTTCATTCTGCTGCTCTCCTGGGTGACCTCAGCTACAGGGACCCTGTGGATGCTGTTCATCACATGCCTGCAGCGACGCCTCATGGGTCCAAGCGCCTCCCACACATTTGTATTTGAAGCATCTTAAAGCAGACGCCTCAAACTCAGCATGTCCAAAATTGCAGGGAGCGTTTTATCCCACCCGTCCCGTCCCCCGCTGCCCCCCACCCCCACCCCTTCAGCCCAAGCCATTCAAGCCAAGGCCCTGTGCTGACCCAGTGAGGCAGTGCCAGTCTCCTAACGCTGTTAGTCTGCTCTGGGGGGCTCGCTTCCATCGTATGGGGCATTGTCCACTGGCACGGAGCTCCTTGAGGAGAAAGCAGCCCGGAGTACGACGTCGGCTTCCTGGAGGCCCGGGGTCTCCGGAGAACAAAGATGCGGGCCCAGTTTCCACATTGGGGCTGAGAGAAAGCCGGCGTGGTGGGTGAAAGCCCAATCCACCCATGGCTGAAGGACCTCCGTGGGCTCAGGACTGGTGGCCAGCATCTTCATAAGCGACTAGGCGCTGGGAGGCGCCTGAGCAGAAGCTACCACGAGCAGCGAATTATGAGGCGCTTGCTCTCAGACACACTCCCCCCCGCCCCCCAGCCATCCAGATTTAGAACCTTGCTTTGCACACACACCCCTGAACATAAAGGTAAGCGGACTGCTGCTTGGTCGTGTGACTTGTATCTCATTTTCTCAAGTCTGTCCTTTAATCTCTTTGTTCTCTGCCCCCACCCCCACCCCACGGTCTCAAGACAGGCTTAGGTTCAAATGATGTCTCCATCCCTTCGCATCGTGTAATCTTGGCTAAGTCATGCTTACTTTCCTAAGCCTCCAACGTCTCTTCTTCAGAATGGGGACCAAAAAACGCCTCCTGGTTGACCTGCAGCCTGGGGAGAATGGGTCTGAGTGCCCAGACACTCGACACTCAGTAAGTGCTCATTAAACGGGAGCTGTTTTTATTGTTGCATCTGAAGTAATAAAATCCCTTCTTATTCCTGGAAGGGACAAAGCCCTTTCTGACTCCTTCCTCCCTTGGCGGTTGTCAACAGCGCCTGTGCGTGCCAGCCTTCCACAAGGCGCAGTCTGGGACGGCTCATTATCCACGGCCTCTTCTCTCCTGTGCTCAGCCCTCCAAACCCCACTGAACGAGCTCTTCCAGTTCTCAGCCTGCCTCCTTCCCATGGAGGAGGCCCTGTGATCTCATTACCTCCGCACAAAGGGCATTCCAGGGCTCAGCTGAGCCCCAAACTTAATGCCCGTCTTACTTTATCCAGGCAGGCATCTCCTCCTCTTGGGGTGTGTGCTTTTGCAAGCAATGCTTCGCTGGCTCCTAGTTCCCCGCCCCCACCTCCCCCACCTCCGCGGCGGTAATCTCTTCCTTCTCTCATTCCGTACACAGACCTTCACCCAGGCCTTGGACAGGTAGCTTTACTGCCTGCAACAAGTTTGCCTTTGTGATCAGGGACATTGGCCCGGCATCAAAGGCACCCTTCTCCCCATTTCCTCTTTTCAGATTTTATAATCATCCTCTCCTGTGCAGCCTCCAGACCTGAACTTGGAACTACCTGGCTTTTATCTCAGGCAATAGGACACACCAACTTCATAAAGTAAAGAGAGAGGGAAGAAAAAAAGACAGATTGGCTTGAAGCGATTGCTTCCTCTTCCCAGCCGAACCTCCACTGCTTGGACTTTTCTCCCGCTTGGTCACCTTGCCCTTGATGTCCGGAGGTCGAGGCTCACCTCTGTGGATCCATCCTAAAGGTGGTTCTGTTCAGACCGGGACTGAGAAACATCTAGGCCTAACCTGCATCCTCATCTTGACCTGTTTCCTAATGAATTAAGTCAGGCAGTTGTGGGATGGTCAAGAGGGTTTTTTTCGCCTTTATTTGTTTTGTTAAATTATTATCTTTTTTAACCAGGAATGCATCCCTCAATTAATTACGACATTTTTGTTTTT